AACAATATCATTGTTTTGCCATCTGCTACATAATAGCAGTCTATTGAAAGACCAGCAGTTGTGTGAAATGATTTGAACTGTAAGCTGGAGTTAACTTAGCCTGTAATGAAGTATTGCACAACACAATAACGTTAAGTTTGGTTCATCAGGCTCTGCTGCTTGTTTTTAAAGCTTAAAATCTCTTAACATCTTTTGACAGTTCTATAAGATTTCTATTGTATATTCTCATTCTTAGAAATTTGTAGTTTGGTACTAGTATCTTGTGGGCAGAAATTTTGCAAATTCTCAGTCAAAAACAATTTTATAAAATATTGTGGGTGATATAAATTTCAAATTAAATGAGAAGAATGATGTATTTTCCCAGATGTGCTTTGATGCATCTGCAATCTGAAGCACTTTTGGTTGTTAACTGAACTTTTGTGAACTGTTAGTGAAAAAATATATGCTGTTGAACTGTGGGCTAGGAAATAATTTGGGAGAGTAATTGTGCAGAACCCATAATAGTTTTGTTTTTTTTTTGTAAAATATGCCTGCAAATTGGAGTGTTTATGTGGGTGTGCTAGATCTCATTTAACAATTTGTGTGCAGTATGAATTTATATGAACTGATGGTAAACGTGACCAAGATGCCTATAGACTTATGTCAGAATGTCTGTATTTTTTGTATAAATGAGTCATTGCTAGTTGCTGGATGCTGTCACAGGTTGTAATTCAAGTGGCACTGAATATGTGAGGCTTTCTCTTCAGCCAGAACAGAGCTACCTTTCAGTCAGACTGTAAGTCAGATTCAGCATCTTTACAAAGAGCAGTAGTAACTGTCCATAGGATAGATGAGTGTGTGAAAAGTTTGTCTGAACTGAAATCTCAGATCTTAAAATCAGAGCTCCTGTCTGCCTTGAACACCCTTTTGCACCATGTAGTTCTGTGGGTTTAAGGATTGGGCTCATCAAGAACAGACTAGGAGATGTTTTATGTGAAATAGTTAAATTTCTTCAAGTTTGGAGGGAATGTTCAGCTTCCCACCAGACACATTTAGCAGAACTGAAGAGCCAGTTTGCCTTGCATTTTGGTTTTACAATTAGCCAATTAGTTCCATTGTTGTTCGTAAGAAAATGCTTAAAAATGAGTGTTCCCAAAGTGGTTATGGAATGATCCAGTGTTCTACACTGAAATGAAGAAAGCTTATTATAAAATCACCTTTTTTTTGTAATAATTTCAAGTGATATATGGCTTGTGGTCTATAAACAGTTACAGCTCCTGAAGGTATAGGATCTAAATATGCATGAGGATGGTTCTAGTGCCATTTTTGGTATATACTTTTAGGGGAAAAAATAAATTCTGCAGTTACTCAAGTACTTATTTTTATAATCTGTTGACTCCTGTTAGTGATGTCTTTTTTGAAAATAAGCAACATGTGATAAAGGCAGGTAAAATTCATAAGACTTTTTTGCAATTAAAAAGATTTCTTGAGCTATTTATGAGACAAAGAAAAGGCTTTTCATAAGTGGTTAAATGGCTAGCTTGATGATTCAAGAAGTTCGTTCTTCTCCTTGTTAATGACAAGACCTACTAGTTATTCATCCTACCAATTCATTTTCTTCTGTATATTTCTCTTGAATTTCAGATCTTTTAGTAGTAACTGTACATATTCCTGAGAGCAGCTCTCTTTTTGAACCATGTTAGTAACATTGTCAGTGAGACAGTGCTTGCCTTTATTTAGTACTGGTACATGTATGTACTTTCCGGAAAATTTAATATTTAATCTGTGAAATGCTAGAGATTTTTGCAAGGGTAAATGTGTTTGTAATTTGAAAAAAAAAACAAAAAAAAGACCTTGTCTCCAGATTACAGGCAGATTGGGCATGCACAACTCCATATATTGAATCCTAAAGAAAGATCTTTGTTATTTTTTGTGTAAATAGATATGCATGTTTTGACAGATAAAATTATGTACAATTGCTGAGGTTATCACAAAGTATTTTTACTTCACTAATAAGTCTGAAACAGCACCTTTCCTTTTAATTATTGCTTGTAAAAATATCCTTTGTTAGTAGGTATATGAAATACTAAATTGTCAAGTGTAGATAATTTGGTCCAGTGGGTTTTATTTACCAACTGCTTTATTTACAGGCTTGTGACAAGATCTCTTTGTACTGCCAGTTAGAGCAGTGACCATGACAAAGTAATTTCTGAGTAGCCAATCTGCTGTTATGAAACCTGTGATGACAAAGATGGACATGCATCTACATTGTTCTGACCCTAGATTACATTGCTATGGATCAGGAAAGTGGGCATGGTAAAGAAAGCTGTGGTAGGGATTGCTCAGTGCTTATTTTGGAGATTAAATTTAGATCAGGCTAAAAGCTTTTTAAACTGTGTTTCAAGGTTGAGTTTAGCTCCTGTGATTTTTTTCAGTATTTCACTTGAAGAAATGGCAGAAAAAAACCTAATTATGAGAACTGGTTAGATCAACTGTAAATAGTAAAAATGGATTCTCCAGGCATCTTCTAGCAGATTAACTAGAAGACTTTGTGCAGATATTATCTGTAGTTAGTTACATGTCACGTTAACGTGAGCAATGAAAAATACCTGCATTTGGCATTTTGCTCCTTTGTTTATAACTGAGATAGTGGTCTTGCCTGTGAGAGGGAATGTACTTGTTTAAATACATGTACAGCAACCAGGTGGGATTAAAGAAAGCAGATTCTGCATATGAACAAATTTTAACGTAATTAAAATGATTTCCCCACAAATAATGTTTTTGAGGATTTGCGATCAAAAAGTCCTAAGAATTGAAGAACTGCTAATGATTTTATTACAAATAATTAAAAAATTTTGGGGGGCTTGGTAAAACAACATTGAGGGAAGTGATAAAAACAGAATCAAGAAAGTGCAGTGGGGGATGAGGCTGCTTCTCTGGAAGGGATCAAACCTGAGGCTGCCTCAGTGCTGGGTGCAGGCTTGCAGAGCAAAGTGATGCTCCTCTGTCTCTGTACTACACAACCTAGAGCAGGGGAAAGGATTACTCTATGTAGAAAATGTTCTCTCGGGCCAAGCATCAGTTGGTATTCCTGTGGTTATAGCTTTCAATACCAAAGTTGTTTCACAAAAGTTCTTTTTTTGAGATTGATGTGGGACATCCTGTGACGTGCTTTGCTGTCTTCTGCCTCGTGCAGCTGGCAGTAGCAAATCAGTGTCTCAACTGATGTATGTGGTGACTGAAATCCTTTGAGTGAATAGATAACAAGGCAAAGTTGCTCCTTGAGCTAGCCAGAGAACTAGTAGAACAGGAGAAATGAATATCTTGGTGAAAATTGACTCGATTTATTTATTCCTCACATTCTATTTATTTCTATTATGTGTCAGCACATGTAAAAATTTTTGCTTTAACATTTCCCAACAGCTTGTGTAGACTTCTGTTCTGCACTCTTGTCCAGACTTGATTAGTACTGCTGGGCGTGAGCAAGCTGTTGCTCTGTTCTGACCAAGCAGTGACTGTACTAGGTTGGGGTGCAGGGGTGTGACTGTGGAGTGGGTTGCATGAGGTATGAACAATTCAGAACTTTTCTACATGAAATATTTTCCAAGAGTTTTCAGGCTGCTTTAGTTTTTCATTATTCGGTAAGTCTTTTAATACTAGAAATATTTGCTGCATGACCTGTGGGGGACGTGCATGAGTGTAATAAACTTGCTGAAAAACAGAGTAATGTAAATGATGAAAAAGAAACAGTGAACTATATAACGTGGTTGTGGTAGTATTTGTTTGCTTTCATTTTTCTTACTTCTCTACTGATCTCGATTCTTCTGTGTGTTAACATAACTTTGGAATGTCAAATCAGGATTGGTCATTCAGTAGAAGTTCATGTCTAGAAAACAAGAAACAAGTGTATTTGTATATACTTTGGAATTTTGTGAACTTAAAGAAGCACTGTGTAGCATTTCAATGCCTGTAAAATGAACATCTGCAGCAATTACAATAACAGGCTTTTAAATATTCATCTGCAAACAAAGGTCAAGAGAAAATACATGTTGAAGGTGAAAATAAGCTTACGCTTTTTTAGAATGTCTTTGTTGCCAATATTTGTAAATATGCTTCAGTTAGCATGGTGGATTTTTATAACTCTGAATTTGAAGGTCTACTTTGGGAAATGCCATTCAGAATCTTTTCTCATTCTCTCTGTCTCATAAAAGTATTGCTGTGACTGCCAACTTCTAATGAGATACAAGAACAAAATGTTAGTAAGGGTTCCAGGAACTCTGCAGTGATTGTCCTGAATTCAAAGGAGCTTCCCTGCTTTGATGATGAATTAGTCTGTTTTTCTGAAGGAAGAAGTAATCTTCAAATCTGTATCCCCTGCGTGACTTGATCTTTTTAATATACTGAAATTCTCTGGTGGCATGTCAACTGTATTTACTGTGCTGTATTATTCAGTTGTCTTTTATTTTTGCAAGAAACAAAGAATGGTTTCAATCATATTTTTTACACAAATAATGCAGGCTGAACAGACTTTTTCTACAGAATGCTCTCCTTGTGGGAACTGCAGCTGTCCAATTATAATTTTGACTTTGTTCCTAAAGACCTTACTCTGACATTGACGCCAGGTGATCAGAATGTCTGCATTTTTGAGATGAAGCTTACTTGTTGCCCAATCCAGGCAGCATCTGATGATTTTTGCAGATCTTCTATTGGAAAAAGAATTTTGGTTCACAGAAGAGACATTCTGCCAAGGAAAGGAGTCAGTATCAGTGGATGTTTTTGTGACATGGGTTATTGCTAGGTTGGATGTGACTGTCTTTATTCAAGTGCAGAGTCAAGGTGTTTTTTCCTTGTTTTCATGTTTTTACAAATCACTAACGTATTTCTTTAAATGGAATATACATGGATCATCAAAAGATTAAATTGGATGCTTCTTTGAGCTATTATTATTGATACAGTAGAATTGGAAATTAAAAAATATATATATATTTTCACTACTTGCATTGTTTTGTTCCTATTTTTAGGATGCAAAATTTGTAGAAGAGCGCCGCAAACAGCTGCAAAATTACCTAAGGAATGTAATGAACAAAGTTATTCAAGTTGTGCCAGAATTCACAGCCAATCCCAAAAAAGAGACTCTAATTCAGCTGATGCCCTTTTTTGTGTAAGTATCTGTCAAGTATTCAAGAAAATACTTAGCCTTTTCATCACAACTTAAAATATACTGCCAACATCTCACAAATCTTCAAAACAGTGTTATTTGTTTTTTCTGATAGACAGCATCTGCTCAAATCATAAATGCTTCTGCTATACTTAAAGGAATATATGATGTATGTGCTAACTTTTCTTTATTTAATTTGTGGTTTTGAACAAAATCACTGTGTAAAGCTCTCAACGTGAAGAATATGTATTGATGCAGATTTTTCAGAGTTAGATGTTTTCAGTTTTTTTCTATTTGGGCTTTAAAATTTGTGTTTTAATTTGCTTTTGTGGGTTTTGTGTTTTTGTGTTCAGTTTTATTTTGAGGAATGAGGGTGTATTGCTGTTAGTGTGTACTTACCAAATTAAAAAGTCAAGCTCTTGAATTCTTTCTGGATGACTTTTGCAATCTGCTAATGTATGTTCTGACTTCACTGGTGTTAACTTTGAATGTGTCCAGAAATAATTTAACAGTCTTGGCTGCTGATAACCTGAAAGCAAATCTTTTGGCTATCAGTCACATTAGGATATCATTCGTTAAACCTTTGTTTTGCTATAAACATATGATTTAGAAATACTATAAAGAACTATGTAGAACACTTTAAAAACTGATACTGATGAAAACTTGCTTTTGCAAATGACATTAAGTTTTGCTAATAGATTTAGTACACAGCATACAGAAAATCTATTTATTCATAGTAAGGCATTGTAGTAAATTTGCTCTTCACAAGTCTGTACAGGCTGTGAATGGTTTCTGGGCCAGTTTGGCCCTGATCCACGACTAATGGGGCATGGGGACCCACGGACCCTCACTGTGGGGGAGGAGAAAGGGGTGAAAAGGGGAGAAAAGGCAGGGAGATGGGCCCGAAAACAAACCAGTGGCAATGAGCTAATGGAGAAAACTAATTTGCTAAATACGATATCAGAATGCGCAGTAACACAATATGATCCAATGTAATTGGAATTGAAGCTAAAAAATCAGAGAAAATGAGGGAGAGAGTATCCAAAAGCAAAGGCCTTACTCTTAAAGCTAAAGGTGAGATAGCTAGGGAGCATGCACTGCAGAGATGAGCAGCAGAAGGGACTGCCTTATGAACTGTGAGCAGTTTTATCTTTCCTCCTGAACAGAAAACGGAAATGGAGCAGTGAAAGGTGCCTGGAAAAAAAATCAACAATCCACAGAACTGGAGCATTATCTTTTTAAGTGATAGTGCTCTATATGATGTTATGAAGTGGAATACAACAAAAAAATCATACAACCATGACACAGACTTTGTGCCTCTGTGGTTAGGCTGATTCTCAAAATCAAGATCCATTTAAATTGAAAATGTTTCAGTGAAAGGGTGCATACTTAAATGGATTACTTGCATGGTCTTATGCAGAAGAGTTTTACATTTACAAGTTCAAGCTTAATTTCAAGAAAGCTGTATTTATTAAAAGATGCATAGGTAAATGGAGGAATGCTAAGTTTTATTTTGTAGCTTTTGTATTTTAAGTTTTATCTGGATCTGAAGAAGTCAAGATCAATTTTAGGAGACACCTCAAGGTTGTCAGAAATGGCACAATGATGTCTGTAGAGTCAAATATCTCACCTTCTTATGAACTCTCTTTATAGAATCAGACTGAAGGCTATAAAGATGAAAATGATCTTGAACGCTTCTAGTCAATGGGCCCATGTATGAGCTTTTTGTTCAGTCATCTTAAAATTGTTTTTCATTCTGGCAAATTCAAAATACATTTGCAATTGAATTTTTAACTCAAATTCTTTTTCTTCCTGTCCCATTATCTTTCATTTTAAAATGATTCTATACAGTTCTGTGATGTAGTGAACTGATAATTCCGCATCAAATTCATTTAATATTCAGCTGTTTTACGTGTGCAGCAGAAAAATAAATTGATTGATGTCTGAATAGATGTCAAACAGGTACTATTTAAGCTCCTATATTTTCTTTTGTTCATTCCACACAAACAAACAGTAAAGCAGAGTAACATGTTAATCCAGGTTAGATTTTCCTCCTCAACCTGTTCAACTTCAAGGTACAAGGTTTGTAATAAATTGTTTTTGGGTTTCAAATGTACACAGAGTAGCTCTAGGAGTTATTGTTAGCTTAGCATTTCAGGGGATCATAAAGATATTGACAAAATGAGTATTAAAGTAAGATCAAAGTGAACAGTAATTTAAACCATTAGATAAGGAAATACAATGGCTACTCCTGTTAGAAATACTAATTTGAAGTTTTCGCTTGAATAGATGAAAAACAGTTTGTAGCAGCAGTTCATTACTTGGACTGCTATGGATCATTTACATATTTTAACCAAAATGATGATGTTTTGTGTGAGATGATAAACCATGAGATAATACAGTGCCAATGTAAAAACAATAATGTTACTCTTTTTAAAAAAATCTATCTTTTGTAAGAGTATTTATTACTGTATCTTTTTATTTTGCTTTGAAAGGTGATACTTCAAGAATAGTGTATTTATAACTTGTAAGCCACTTATATTAGGAACAGGAAGGGAAAACCAATTTCTTCTCATTCTTCAATCCTCAATAGTGAATTTGCTTTCTTAGAATCAGCTCTGGGTATTTTTACATGTGTATTAAATACAACTTAGGTCTCATTTTTGTGCATAAAAATAAGTTCTAGGTATGGAGAACTGCACAAAAAAAATTCAGAATCGCTGAATTTAAATTGGAAGCCTGATTTAATGGGTTCTGTCTGTGATGCATGGATCAGTATTCTGCTGATACAAAGAAAAATATCTTAAATTATTGGGATGAGATGAGTATGTATGGTTATTTTGTCAACAGCTTGCAAATACCAATATAATGTATTGCATTGATACTTGAGTGTCTTGGTTATTGCCATATCACAGGCTGCATTCAAGGGCACTACCTTTTCTTTTTGGAATTGTTTCTTTTGTCAATTTCATAATTCTCATTGAAGAAATGAATTATAGCAGGTTCTCAAATATTCCTTCATATCTTGACATGACAAAAAGATTCTGTTAACAAACGTCTGTGTATTATTTCTCTAGAGCTTTTTCTTAAATAATAGAAACAATAATTCATATAAGAATAGTGCCATTTAGTTGGCTTTGTTGCTTTGTCAATGCAAACGTCTATATTCACATTTTCAAAATTACTTTCGAAATATCCTGCCTATCAGTTAATATTTCATTCAATAGCTTCTCTCCACAGGATATAATTTATTATACAGCAGACACAGGCACTGTTTAAGGATGAACTTAAATCTCTTCACAGAAACGTTTGTGGAATAGTATTTTAAATAAGATCTTTGAATACATAGACGCTAATGTCTTCACATATAAAGATTATCAAAATGTATGATCTAACCCCGAAGTACTGCAAAACAATATCAATGAGATGTAAGGAAATTTTAAATGCAATTTTGAATAGATGAATTTTTCAAAAAGTGAGTCGATGATGGGAATCTGTAAAAGCTGTTGCACCTACATGTGGCTTCTAATAGCATAAATAATTGTTCATCTTATAGGTCCTAAACTATTTCCACTGGGCATATTTTCACTTGATTGCATCCTTTGAAGTGACAGCCTGTGTTACCAGCTTGGTATTGAGTTCAGTATCTCTTCAGCAAATCTCAGTTATGTTCTGTAACAGTAAGCGTGTACTTTGATAAAGAGGTATATCATTTACTCAAAGAAAGTGGGACTAGCATTTGCTTAAGTATGTGAATTTTAATTAGTAAAGCGCCTCCTAATACCTGAAACATGGTAATGAAGCTAATTTATTGCCATGTTAATTGATTGATCTACTCATAAAACCATGTAGACACATTATGCAGCATTTATCTTTCAGCAGAACTGTGTTGCCAAGTGCTGATGATTGTTGAAATAAAAATATCTTAGATATCTTAAAAAAAAACAAAAAACAAAAAACAAAAAAAACGTCCATGGTAACACCTTTCACAAAGATTGAAACTTAACAGTCTGAATTTTCCGGGATTTCACGGATTATGTGAAATAGAACTTTGATCCTGGCTCTAATATATTGGAAACTAAAAGCTTGAATAGCCATTGAAAAAGTCAATCAGGTCTTTGTCAGGTAGCGTTTGTTGCAAATCTGCTGTGCTTTTCCAGATGGTAAGTAACTGTTCCGCATCCTCTTAGTTGGTTTGGACTTAAGGTTTGCAAACTTACTTTTTTTTGTAATGTGTTGATAATGTGGTGAAATTAAGAGCGAATAAAATATGGTTCTTCCTCTCATGATAGCTTTTCTTGCTGTTAGGTACTTACATTTAAGTTATTCTATGTATCGTAGAAATAATGTATGTTTTTTGTAGGCATAATGTCCCAGTATGCTTCTATTTACACTGGTTAATATAATTAAATAACGACATGTAGAAACCAAATTTAATACAAGCAGGTGTCATTTTCATAGCATGTTAGGGTGCACAGCTCAGCATTTAGGTTCTTGTTTAATCTGAAAACAGTGCATAGAGACAGAGGAGCAGTTCTGTTAACTGCAGTGACTTTTCAAGCAAGAACTTTGAAGTGGGGTTTACAGCCTGCAGCAGAGTACTGAAATTGTCTTAAACTAGTAGCTTTCACAAAATTTATTTTGGATGACCGAACAAAAGATATCAAAGACTCAGCAGGTTTTCTGAATGAGATCAATGTGGTTGAAAACTTGAGTCAACAGGGAACTAAAGCCTATATTACAATAAAGAAAATGTGAAATTAGAGCAAACTGAAACATGTATTAGGTAAATGATTTGAAAGAGATGAGTTGATGGTACGTTTTTAATGCTGGAGTGAATTGTTTTAGATGGGGAGCTGTAGGAAAGGTTGACTTATGGACAACAGAGGTTTAGGCTTGTTTCTGCTAGATAGTATCAACTGAGCACAAGAGTTTGAGAGAAGCAGCAAGCATAATTACCAGCAAACAGAATAGATGGGAAAGTATTGGGCGATATGGTGTTG